CTTATGACCACAATTGCACTGTTGGTGTCTGGCCAAGGGCCCAACATGGTCTCATCAGTTAATGACCTACTGCGATATCGTTCACTAGAAAAAAAATCAGCGTTTTTTGTTCACGTGCGTATGCCGGGCAGACATAAAATATGTGCTCAAGTGTTTCTGGCACATCCCAGTGCCAGAAACACTTGAGCACATCACATCAATTAGGACCGGTGTCAGTGTGACCGATGATATGTGCGTAACGTCTGGTGTACGCCACACCAAGACGAATGTGGTGGATCATACTTGTGAGTTGCCGTTTCAATTTAGGGGGCATGCGGAACCTCATTTCCAAGTCCCATTTGTGAAGTCACCGGTGTCGCCGTTTCGGTTTGGTGCAGGGCTGAAGTGTGTAGCTGCGCATGACGCAGCGAAGCAGGGCGTTCGTGTCAGCTCGTTAAAACGCAATGGCTCCCAACAGCACGCGAGCCAAATAATGTAGCACACAACGCTGCCTGGAATTCACCATAAATTATCAAAGTCAGCTAAATATTGCTTTCTTTTCTCTCGACAAATCACGTTATATGTCCAAAAATCATACGTCAACGACACATCTGTCAACCATTGGCTGATTTGAACATGGCGCGCTCGCTTGTTACAGAGATCGCAGCGGAAGGCCGCTACTTGTCCGCGTGTTCTTTTTTTTTTTTTTAACAGTGAAAGCTTTCTTTATTTGGCACCTCTCAACAGTGAATAATCCTTCCTGAATTCTGCCCACTTGTCGAGCGCATCGCAATTGATTCTCCTGCCACTTCAAGTTAAATAACTGGACTAGAAAAAACTTGTTCAGTGCTCCTAATAACGCCTTCAGACACGGCGTACGCAAATGTGTACGCAAAGTTTCATAATTTTTTTTTGCGGCCGCCAGCCATTTTGGCGACTTCGAATTGCGCGCCACACGTCTGCGCCAAGTTTGAGAACTAACATGTGGCGCCATCTAACTGAAAGAATTAAAAAAAAAACAAGAAGGAAGAAGTTCCGCAATGGATGTCGCTTCGTTCTACGGCAGCTCTGGTAAGTGGGTTACAAAAACACAATTTTCACCTAATGGCACAATCTCGCAATTATTGTGCATGGTTGGTAGCTGGTCCGAAGAAGTTTATTAACAACCTGACTAAATATCAGCTTTTGGGACAACGAATTTGTCGCGATAAGAGGAGTTGACTTTATGCGTACACATTTGTGTACATTGTGCCGCTACCCATACAACACTACATGTCTTGCCATTTCGCTAGTGGTGCTGCAGAAGTGCTCAAAACGGCTATTATTTTGCTGTTTTGTACTTAGAGCTGGCGGACCATGCGAAGAATCGCACGAGAATAAAAAACGAAGCAGCTGAAAATCTGCTAATGAGAATAGCGGATGGGAATACGTCAGACATCAGTTTGTCAGACGACGAGGAAGGCGACCAGCAGCCGACTCAAACTGTAAGCAGTTATTCCATTTTCTTCGTGCTTGCAAACCAGTTTTCGTGATATTGAAGAATATACTTAAAACGCAGGACAACCAACCAGATGTTGCGGCCGGGCCTTCATCACCGGTGGACGAAAACGACAACAACGATGGAGAGTCCACTGCGAAAACTAGAGTTTCGTGGACCGCGAAGGACTTCGTGCGGCCAGACACCACGTTCCAGTGCGAGTACGATGACCCTGTTGCAGTCGCCGAACCCATTGAGTACTTTCTGAAGTACATTTCTGAGGAAGTGTTTGAAGAAATGGCAAGATGCACAAACATTTATGTCATGGAAACGACAGGAACGATCCTCGCGACTACTCCAGATGAGATAAAAAGGTTCCTTGGTGTTCTGATTATAATGGGAACCCTTAAATTTCCGCGCACGCGCATGTATTGGCAACCAGCGACACAGATTCCTACAATTTGTGAAGCAATGAGCGTGAATAGATTTTGCAAGGTCAGGTCCGCCCTACACGTCACTGAGTCAACAACACCGCACTCACCAGCTGACAAATTTTGGAAAGTGCGACCACTCCGAAACGCTGTCAAAGAACGTGTTTTACAGTTGCCACCTTCGGAGCACTACAGCATTGATGAGCAAATCATCCCGTTTACAAGCAGGGTAGCGGCGAAACAGTTCATCAGGAACAAACTCAACCAAGAGGGAGTAAAGGTGTTCCTTCGTTGTAGTGCAGAGGGCATGGCCCATGACTTTGAACTGTACCAAGGAAAAGGAACTGGTGTGTCCGAGGAGCACAAGAGCCTTGGCTTGGGTGGCTAAATCGTCATGAGGCTTGTTAAAGACTTGCCCTTGTATCAAAATTTCAAATGTTATTTCGATAACTACTTTACATCCGTAGGTCTTCTGCAAGAACTGAAGTCCATAGGGATCTGGGCAGTCGGAACAATCCGCGCCAATCGACTGCAAGGCTGCGTCTTGAAGACTGACAAGGAGCTGAGACGCGAAGGCAAAGGAAGCTACGACCAGAAAGTCACAAAAGACGGGGACGTCATTCTGGTACGGTGGCAAGACAACGGAGTCGTAAACGTCGCTTCAAGCTACGTGGGCGTGGATGACCTGTCCACTGCAAGGAGGTAGAGCGAGGCCACAAAACAGCACGTCGACATCCCATGCCCTGCTCTCATAAAGGACTACAACACCTTTATGGGAGGCGTGGACAAAATGGATTTTCTCTTCTCGCTGTACCCTCTCCGCCAAAGAACCAAGAAATGGCCAGTGCGGGTCATATGCCACTTTGTCTCTTTTGCCATAGTGAACAGCTGGCTCGAATACGTGAAACATGCGGAAGCGAACCGAATGCAGCGTAAGGACACTTTGGATTTGCTGGCATTCCAGAATGAAGTTGCCATGGCACTCATCATGTGCAGCTAGAACGTTGCGAAGAAACGGGGCCGCCCAAGCCTCCAGGAGCCGTCTGAACCTCCTCCCCGCAAAGTACACAACGCGGAGCCAAGGCCAGTCAACGCTGTTCGCTATGATGGCCTAAACCACTGGCCAGCCCACTCCGCACAACCGTTTGCTCAGCGTTGCAAGTTTGAAGGCTGCACATCTAGAACGCGCATCCGCTGCCAAAAGTGCAATGTGTTCCTTTGTCTTTCTGCCACCAAGAATTGTTTTTACGTTTTTAATAACAAATGAGTGATCGAAAGCACGGTTTGCATGAAAAACACAGTATGTAAAATGCCAGAATAACGTTGGCTTGTGTGTAAATAAACCTTTTTCTATTTTGCAATTACCAGCAAATGTGGTGTGTTTGTACTGTGTGGGGCACGATGTACACAAATGTGCACGCGACCTAAAACTAAACCAGAGGTATGTAGAATTTTGTTGATGTGTTTAATTTATTCACTAGGGTCATAGATGGCAGAAAAGAAAAAAAAAATTTTATCCATAACATTTATTCGTGTCTGAAGGGGTTAATGTGAAATGGTAGTGTAGGATTCAAAACAAACGTGAACATTAAGATATATACTTTCGAGCTCACAGTAGTTTAGCGAATGCAGGTCAGTGACAGCCACAACGGTGATTTTTGGCGAGGATTCTTGGCATACTTTTGTTAACCCTGCCGTACGTGAGCGCCTCAACGCGTTCCCCACGCCGCAGGTGTTGGAGCGGTGCCAAGTACGTCGCTGGTACATGTGCGTTGACGTCATGCTCCCATCGCAGGTCTGTGCTGACGTCACTCTCTTCCTCACCCGCAGCACGCTTGCCGCAGCACCTGCATCTGCCGGCTACCCCGCTCCCTCGCAACACACTTCTCTCTCGCTTCACCCTCTCCAACGCCCGCAATTAGCTCGACCGCACTTCAAGTAGAAACACTCTTTCGGCTCGTTTATCTGTGATGAAACCTACATAAAACCTAACGCACCCACCGTGTCTTTGTGTTTCAAACAAGCGTTTACTCAAGTAAACGCTACACTGAGCTTTGCTTCAAACCGAACGTTCTTCTAGCACCCACGTCGACGCCAGTTTCAAACGGCTCAACACCGTTCGCACCGCTGCTACTTCTCATCCCATCAGGGTTCCCTTCGGGGACATGGTTCATAATGTATTATGGTAAAGTGTGCGTATGGCAGGCAGTATGGCAGGGTGCTGAAAGATCATGAAACGTCCGGCATGTGATGGGGAGGAGACTTGCCTGCTTATTTCACAGTATGCTATCGCTCGCCCATTTTTAATGACACCCAGACATGAAATGCGAGAAGCATGTAATCAAACGCCAAAAAGGGGGAGGGGGAACGCCTAAGCCTGCGCCAAAGCGCAGTCACTAAAACTAATACGATTTAATGTACCCACTACACCATAAACAATTATTTCTATCAAGTTCTTTGTGGTTGATTTGAACAATAGTTTTGGTTGGACGCGCTCATCAAAAGATCATAACCTCTACAAATTCCTGCACTGGCATGGAATGCGCCACGTCTATGCTCAGCGGTGAGTGTATGACGCTTCGCCCAAAACTGTCAGATACAACTTGTAAAGCTGCAACGTCACAGCAGACCAAGACCAAGAGGCGTCAGTCTTTTTGGACAACAAAGGTACTGCTTTAGTGCACTCTACCGCACCCCACTCCTCACGTGTGTGAAGAACGAAACTGGAACTGTAAAAAGAGAAAGAAAAAAAAAAAGAACTGTAGATTGTTTGCCAGCTAACGCTATTCAATATAAAGCCTGTACTTCTCATTTCATCTTCCCACGATCGTACTATGATAGCGGTGCCAGTTTTTAAGGCCTTTGAGATGGCAACAATATCGCTTATAATCTCAAAGTCCATGGGTGTGCTCGCCCTACCGTTTAATTCACGGATTGTTATTGCGTGCTTCAGTATTATCAAAAAAGTGCACTTCTTATCAGTGACGACATTTTTTATTGAACTTACGTTAAACAAACCTAGAGTAATTGTTTTTAAGCATACCTTTCTATGTTTTCAGTAATTCCGCCTGCCAGTAGTGGCGCCACCAGCACGTTTCAGCGTTGGTCTGGCTACAGTGGCTAAAAGAAGTGAAGTCTGGCTTTGGTTAGCGCTTTCAAAAAACCAGCGGGTGCACACGAGTTTAGGATCGAATTTGTGAGAAAATGGCCAATTCTGGGCAGTTAGGCCAGTGCGGAACATTCGCACATTGTTGGTAATGATGCCTGGAGGTAGTAAATGCGCCGCTGCGTGGTGCCGCAATGAATCGGAGAACGGCATTTCCTTCCACAAGTTTCCTACGAACCGCAAGTAGCAGTGTGTTTTTCATTTGCGCCATAGTTTCGTCTTGCCCATTTCGATGGGTTTAAAAAATGCCGTGTCATTGATAGAGGCTTACGACACGTGTGTGACATTCCGTTTAGTAAATATTAGTCTGCGGCATCTCGCAGTACTCGAGCGATCGGTAGTTCGCTGACTGCTGTCCCTGCGCATTCTACGGACTGGGCAAGCTTTGTAGTTTATGGACGATCCATGAGCGAGCGCGGTAGTACGAGCGACATTAGATTTCTGTGTTACAGATATTCTAGTTGCGCCAGGATCAGAGTGTGGCATTGAATATAACGCCGTAGTGGGCTAGTGCTGTTCAACTTTGACCTCGTGTTGTTTGGTTGTTTGTTGACATGCACCTAATTATAAATGCGCAGGTGTGTTCACATATCGCTTGTATAAAAACGCGGGCGTTGTTACTTGCAATCGAACCCGTGACCTCCTGCTACGCCATCGTGACACAATAAGTGATGTGGTACCACAGCAGGTTCACTTTCAAGCACAAGTCATGTGTAGAGTTACTCAGTACATATTTTTTAGGTCCAACCATATTGTTAAAAGTCTGCAAGTTATTTTCTTGCAAGTATGTTTGTAGTGTGTAGGTGTTGATAGTTGGCATATATAAGACTTCATATCGAAATGCGGCATTTCACTTTAGCAGGCAAAAGTTTCTTCACATAACAAGAAACGCTAGGCCGAACATTATAGGATTGTCGAGGAAAAGCTTTTGTTCGCTGCAACGCTATGACTACTGGACAAATCGATGCATCAGGTTGCCTCGGTGCCATTTGTCAAGGTAGCCATGACTTTTTATAGCGATAACTTCTTTGGTCACTGGTTGGTTGGTTGAGCTGCCTACAACTTGGAATTCATTGCAGCATGTCAAAGAGCCCTACTCTACAAAGCCATGTGTTAAATTTAATGTGTCGAAATCAGAATTCAATGTCGAAGACACACCCATTAGGCATTAAAGGGTTTTACGTGCAGGATTTCGGTCTTGACAGTACTTGCTTGTAGTACTAAACTGCTACTTTTTTCTGTGCAGCGTCGACCAATGGATCGAATATGCAAATTGCCCAAGGCTCAAGGATCTTCCAAGCAAGCAGCTGGACAGAGTCAGGCTGTGCGCCCTTCATTTTACACCGTTTATGTTCCTGAGGCCGGGGCCCACGGCAAGGGGCATATTGAAGAGGCTGAAAAAATGTGCCGTGCCTACTGTCCCCGTCTACGACCCGGAGCTGAGGCCTTTCGTTCCACCAAGTAAGTTCAGTACGTTTTTCCAGTTTAGGGGGAATGACTAGTCTTCATTTGCCTCTAATTACGAGACATTCAACCTGCTCTGCTTATCATGACAAGGCTAAAGTTTACGGGAAGAGGAAAGCTTGAAGAGATGATAAGTCATCAAAGCTAGTTTTCACTCAACAGGATCTGTCTTCATCAGATTGCTCCAAGTCTTCAACCTTATGAAGACTCTTGCTGCGAGCAGTTGATGCCGGACGAATGCAAGTTCTCTTGTCGAGGCAATGGCACCAGTAACGTTCATTGTTGATTACTTTTCTTTTGCTTTGCTTAGGAGCATGCGAGAAGTACTGCTTGCCGGACTTGTCGGTTATTGTTTCTGATCAGGGTATAAAAATATGGCAGTTTTTGCTCGATGAAAAAACGATGGAAAAGGTCAAGGGGAGCGCAAGCTTTGGACTGAGAGTCGAAAGTTTGTACTCCCTGCGACCCCTTCCCTCGTTTTTTTTTTTGTCGTGCAAAAATAGCCATAATTGTGTTGCCTTTCCAGAGGAACCAGGAGTATGCATACGACACATTGGCATCTTTTCTGCTCTCTCTTTCAGAGTTTTACAAAGGACCAGTGGAAGAAGAAGGTACGTGTGTTTTTACACGCTGGTGTGTACCGATCCCTCTGGCTCAGAATGGAAAGCAGATATTTGGCATGTATTTATGCTGAGGGCTGTGCAACACTAACATAGAGGACTAGAATAGAAGAAGTGCACATGACATGCCGTCACGCCGACGCGATGGTGTAGTGGTTATGGCGCTCGACTGCTTACCCAAAAGTCGCTTGATCGAATCTCGGCTGTGGCGGCTGCGTTTTTGATGGAGGCGAAAATGTTTCAGGTCCGTGTACTTAGATTTAGGTGCATGTTGAGAAAAACCCCAGGTGGTCGAAATTTCTGAAGCCCTCTACTAGGTTGTCACTCATCATTACATTGTGGTTTTGGTACGTTAAACACCAGTTATTATGGATATGTGCTGTCGTGTGCATGGTGTCTGTGGAATGTGGGGTACACTTCACAGACACCAACCAAATGTCTGTGAAGTGTGGGGCACACGCTTCACAGAGACCATGGTAATTTATAAACAAAAAAAAAGCAGCTTGCCACAGAAATTATGAAGGCCTTCCACATCAGACGAAGGAATGCCAGACGCGTAAGCCACCCATCACTTTAAGCTTTCGGATACAAAGAATGCGAATACTAGGTTGGCACTTGTAACGATTTGTCCTGGGATTCATTGCGCGTATGTTTAGTTCAGGGGCAACGACAAGGAAAGTTCTTTTTCGTTTGACATGATCCCATGTTTTTCGTAGATTAGGGTTTTGTGTTTGTGTAAATGAAAATTCAGTTGGTAGTGGGTGGTTGTTCTGTGCACTCCATCCGTCCTTGTCCTTTTTGTGAGCGCTGCACAATCCTGAACATGAATACCATGGCTCGTTTAGCTTGCCTTCACATTTAATACTGAGGGGGGGGGGGAATTTTTGTCATGGCTGCGTTATTTACTTGTTCCATTTTGAACGCGCAGAAGCGTAATTTCTCTTATGGTAGTGTGAAAAAGCAAGCACAAATTTTAAAGTACCATAACATTGCCTGCAGTGGTGGCTTGGTGAATACCGTTTGGTGGTACTAATTATGCAGGAGGCTTGTGTTCCATACATCGTTGTGGTTGTGCACTTCAGTAGAGGCAAATCACAAAAAGGCGTATGTATCTGCAGCGAGGTGAATGCTACAAGTGTCTTCTTGGCAAAAAAAAAAACAGAAAAAAACACATTTTGTGTGCAGCAAGCACTACTATGCGCAGCTCAACCACTTTTTGTAGTAGGAGCATGAACTTGCCACTCTCTCAAGTGCACTCTCTTGATACAGAAGATTCTCCTCACTTTTTTCGAAGCTGACGATGCCAGCTTTTTTATGTAATTTTGCAGAATGGTGTGATATCTCAAGAGCTGATACAAATAGTGGCATTCGGATGAAATGGAGGAAAAGAATTCTCAGGGGTTGGTTTCTTTCTTTGACACTGCCTTAAAGGCGCCCTGGACCACTTTTTCAGGTAGCCACGTAATGGATTCACTAAAGGAGCTTATTGCCTCACAAATTCACCGCCGCAAAAATGTTCAGAATCCGTCCTGTACAAGCGGCGTTACAAAGATTTGTCGCATGCTGAAATTGCATTCGCTCTTCTCTTGTCCCGACTAGCTGGAAGCTAAGCAGGGAGGGATGGCAGGGGGGAAGAAAACATGTCATGCACGCCTCGTTACCTTGAGCATGTTTTCTCTCTCCCCTCTTTTTTTTTTCGAATACGCGGATTTTCAGTGCTATCGCCCGCACATGCGTGGACAAGCAGTGGCTTCCTACGGTAGCCCGAGTAATGAATGAGCACATCATACTCAGATCAGACTGTGGCAGATAACAGGCCTGGGACGCAGTGATTTTGAGCCTGTAGCATCATTTAATGAGAGAAGAGAAAGCATTTTTTAGCTGAATTTCATAATTTATTGTAAATTCCACACAAATGTGCCTTGCTATAAAGTTTGACACATGTGTTCTCGGTAATGTCAAGCATTGATCAGCAGCGTTCTTTGACTGTGCTCGAAAAGTGTTGCTGGGCCCCTTTAACAAACATCCCTCACACACATCCAAAAAGAAGCACACCAGAGTACTTTTTCGGCAAATAATATTCTTGCTCTAACTCTAGAAACTTTTGAGCGTGTGGCAGTGTTTGAAAAATGGTTCACTCAGAGTTGTTTGTTGCACTCAGTGCACATGTATCACATTTTTTTACGAAGTTCCTGTCGCTGAGAGGTGTTGGTACTGACAGCATCTTCTCTGGGTCCCGCTTCTTCTAGCATTGGAGGGCGAGAATTTCTCTATAAAGTGTTCGTTGCGCACTTCCGTAGTGTAAGCAAACTGCATCAGTGAATGCATGGAAGAAAAAAAAAAACATTGGTTCCGCACCCGTCTAAAAAGCAAAAAGAGTGAAAAGGTATAATAATCCTTTGTCTTATCACTAGTGAGATGCAGATAGTTTTTGCTTGCCCCAAAACAGGAAACATAACCATGGCGGCATCGTTTGTAAATACAGAGCTGCACGGACACAAATGTAGTCATGCCCCCTGGAGCAATAAACAAGAGAGTAACAAGTGGTCGCCCTTTGAGAGATTAGAAATCAGGCTGTCATCAGCTTTCCAGGCGCGAAAAGCGATAACCACCTGAAGGGATGAAGGCGAAACCAGCCACACCACGCACGTGTGCTTGGATGTGTAAGCAAAAGCTGGTGCATCGCTCTGGAAAAAAAACAGAAACAGTGACACATCAAAAAGATTCGTCTTATTATGGCTAGTATGTTCAAAAAGGGCACACAATGCTGTGTAAACAATGCTTCACTTGGAACAAAGTAGTATGTTCTGTACTTTCCTTTCTTACATTGCTCTAATTTTCCAGGTGCACCACTGCCTTCAGCAAGCACTATTCCGTACACAATCCCCCTGTCACTCTTGCCTCCTCTTTCGTCGCTGTGCATCGATGCCTCTTCGCACTCTGCTTCTCCTGCATCGCCTGCGGCCCTTGCCTCTCCTCCATCCCCTTCGGCTCCTCCGTCCCCCTCCGTTCCTGTGTCTCCTGAGGCTCCGCCCTCCCGTGCTGCCCCACTGTCCCCATCCACTACCTCGTCAACGCGGCTGAAGCAGAGGACGGAAGAGTTGACAGACCCTTTGCAAGCACTCTCACAGCAACTGTCAACAGATCCGGGTGAGGATCAAGGTAAGTGATTCCGATGTTTTAAATAACTGTGCGAGGGAATCTGAGAAACTTTCTGTAAATGGACTGCTGACACCTGCTTGGTAGCTTAATGATTACGGCATTGTGTTGCTGGTTGCATTGGCCAAATTTCAGTGGGGGCGAAATGCAGGAGCGCCTGCATGCTTGGGGTTAGGTGTATGTTTAAGAACCTTAATCAGGTAAAATAAATCAAGTGTTCCTCTTTTGAAACTAGTGTTTATAAGAAACCTCTTTAGAAACTAGTGCTTATATTGCTTAGGCACTCTTTACTGTGGCACAAAATACATTTTGCAAAAAATGAGGCAGGCAGTAGAGAAGAAACTGAAGTGCTGGCTAGCAACTGTTAAGTACTGAAGCAATGATTGGGAATTCTCGGCTATGCCAGCCCTTAAAGGGACCCTGAAACGGTTTGGATATATCGTACAAACAGGTTAGAGCAGTAGACCAAGTCAAAAGAGTCATTTAAAAAACCAATTTGAGCTGTCTGCATAAACTGTGTAATTTATTACAACGCTTTAAAGGTGTGAACCGCTGCAGATCGCTCCGACTCGACCAAACGTGCTTTCAACTGCCTATTCATAGAGCGACATGCTCTGCTCCATTGGCGCCACCGTGGCTGCTTATCTGATTGAATTGACTGTGGAATGCGCGGCACAGGCCCCGTGAAGGCGGAGCTTAGCCACGAGTGCTCGAAAGAAGAGCTTAGGTAGTTGACGGTGAAAGGCAGAGTGAATGAGGGGGTACCTGTTTATTGCTCATAGCTTCATTTATAAAGAGTTTTTTTGATTGAATTATGGTGCCAATGTCAGAAGTGGTGTAATCAAAAACGGAATGTGAAAAAAAACGTTTCAGGGACCTTTTAAGAGAAGATGCGATTTGGGAAAAAAGTTGTGTTAATCTGTAGCCTATCGTAAAAAAGTTTTTGCAGTAAAGTTTTGCTATATGAGCGTTCATGCCGATTTCAAACGTGAAATTAGCTTCGTAGTAAGTTAAGCTGTTTTAGTTTTATGCAATGAGAATATGTAACTTATACTTGGTTTTGGACAAACTTTTACTCCCTGTAAACATTTATGATTGTCAGCTATTAATGGCTCGTGTTCCTCTATATTAAGTGTAGAATGCAAATAACTATCAAGAAAGGGCGTATAGCTAATTTTAATGGACGACGAAAAAAATTGTGATGTGAGAATGCTTAGAATCCTCAGCCTATATTCGTGTTAGGTTTGAAATTATTATGCTGGTTATATGAAGTTTTAAGGAAGATACTTGCACCCTCCACACGTTAAGGAATATGTGAGGCAAAATTTCATCACAATCCGGCTATCAGAAATACCAAAAACATGTCTAAACTGAAGGAGTGACCCAAAAATGGATCTTAAGAAAAATGCACTTTAAAGGTATAAGTGAAAGGTCATCTATATGATTTTTAAGATGATTTCTTCTATCATGATAGCTTGGCAATCACAGCCATTTTTAGTGTGTGGTTTTATGAACTCGTGGGAAATGCAATGGCAAATAGCCAGGTTACAATTTTCAGGGGACTTCAGAAAATGAGTTCCTTTTAGTTTTTAGTAGCCACCTTGAGCTCCTTAAAAGCGATTTATACCTACTACTAGTTTATTTGTAATTTTGAGTTTCTTTTTTCGTGAAGGTAGAGAAACTATAAGCCGTTTTTGCCGAAAGGAGGATCGTAGCCTCGAACCAGTCTGTTCGTCACGCTCTATCTCTCTGCACAGGCTGTTCCGCCACTATGGCTAGTGTGTGGGGATTGCTGCGTTTTTCAAGCGCGCGCGGCACATGAGAAGTCCCTGTGTTTTCTTCCTTTTCCTTCCCTTTTTTTTTATCCGCTAAAGCAGTTGTGCTGTCTGGACGAGAGCAGGTCGACAGGCTATCGGGGCGCTGTGTTTAGCTGCGATAACTACTATAGAAAGCACAAAAGGCTGGCAGCCGAGACATGCGAGGTGCACCTTCCTTCGAAATGACTTTACTTCAGTCGCAAGTCTTCTTCTCCCATTAGTATTTTATTATACGTGGTGCTTGTCCTTGTGCCCTTTTCTTCACTCTGCTGCAAAGAGAAGCAATGTCAAAGATGACGGTTAATACAGAGAATGCTTTGCCCTCTGTAACACCAACATCCCCAATTTTTATGCAACAGCACATGAGTTACAATGCCTGTGGCTACTGAAAACAAAGCGCGGGCAATTGGAATATTATCGAATGAGCACTTTTTACCCTGAATGGCAGAAAGGCCAGCATGACATAAGTGTTCTTTGTCTTAGGAACGTGCCATTAGCTTTTTTTTTTTTTTTTTGATGGCACGTCATTTCTCAACTTGTCGATTTCGCGACTATAACAGGAAAACTTTAATGACAACCACACTTTTTTCGCGGCAGCCTTGGGGTCGTGAGTAATCGACTGACAGTCGTTGATGCCATGTCGTTACCTGAACACGTGCTGATCGTGATGCTTCCTGAAAAAAAAAAAAAAAAAGAAAACGACAGCAATGTTACCGAAAACAGGTGCAGTTTCGGGGGTATCACCAGTGGTGGCTGTTCGCACCTAAGTGAACTAACCTAAAGCCATGCCATGCTTCCAGATTTGCAAGACAGAGGGGTAGCCAGGGGGCGACACATCGAGACTGTCCCCCCTCCCCCCAATTTTTTTTTCGCCATGGCATAAAGAGCAAGAAATTATTACCACTTAAAGCGGGTGCCTCTTCCAAAATCAACAAAATGTCCCGCTCTTCCACGAACAAAATTTCTGGCTATGCCCCTGGTGCAAGACGTTAATTTTCATTGTTTCATTGTGTTTCTCAAAAGGAAATTCGAGCTCATCCGTCTTACATTCTTTTGTTATCCTGCGCAACACAAGCTTTTGACTACGACAACAATGCGGATGGACACACACCTCGATGTTTGTGCTTTCTTTGTTTCATTAACTTTGTATTGTGACGTTCTGAACTGAATGAGATGATGTGCTATTGATTGTAGAGTTACGTTAAACTTAAGGACTCACACTAAAGAAACCAGAGAGTAATTTTAAGCACTCATGCGAGCACTTGAAGTGCAGCTAGACTGTGGCGTACGAATTCATTTGTCTCCATTTACGTTTTGGCTGTTACAGTTGTCCGAAAATTTAGCGCTAGTGCATACTCTTAGAGCCACCAGAAAGCTAAGTATAACAAAAAGTAATAACGAATAACCCATTTACACGGGCTGCTTAACCCTGTCAGAAGCTATGTACACACTTGTGAACACCTCTCGTTTTTGTTACTATTAAGTAGAGACTAAGAAAGAGCAAGATATATTGTACATTAGATGAATTGAATCTGCTGCATGATTAATTTATCTTCATTTAACCTAATTTTGCGGTGTACTGATAGGTGTGATCTCTTTTCTGAAGGCACTACCACGTTTAACGAGTCGTGTGATGGGCGGCTTCCTGCAAGCAATGTGAAAAGCAGAAATATTCCTTGCTCACAATTGACATGAACGAAAATAAATTTGCACTAAATTTCTAACCTGCGATTAGATTCTATTTGTGCCAAAAGTAAGCATCAATGACTCCAGGATGAAGAGATATTGAATTGCAACTTAACTAGAACAAGTTACTATGACACACATAGATTCAACAATTATCTTATTTTTGTTGCTATAGAATATGGAGTACCTTGAAGTAAGAAACGTTGGAGTAATTTGACACATTTACAGACATTTCTAAATAAATGGCATCTGAATTGGTAAGGAATGCATTGCAATTTTACTAACATTCCTTCTTACGTCGGCGCCGCTGCGGGAATGTCTCATGGGCCGCCGTTGCTTTCGGTTTCAGCTATTTGGAAGCCAACAGCTTAGCAATTACAGTCGACGACCGATTTTTCGAACCCTCAAGGGACCGCGAAAATGTCTGAAAAATTGGGCAGTCCGAAAAAGCAAATGTGCCCCAAAAATGCTCATTTTATTGGTTACTATTGAAATGGAGGGCGGAAAAAGGGATCCATCCTCTTCTGGGCCATGCTTCGCTTCCGTGCGAGCACATCCGCCCGCATTTCAGCTAGAGTTGCCGTGTCGCTGTACGCTGACGAAACGGTTGCGATAGCTTGCATCAGCTCGGCTTGCGTCGGCTGTGCTGTTGCAGGTAAGTCATCGTCACTCTCGGACTCCGCAAGCACTTGCCGAATTATTTCCTCATCCGTGAAGCCAGCGCACAGTTCCAAATCGTTGTCCACACACGCAAACTCGGAAAACGAGACATCTGATGGAATATCGACGCCCGCAGTGCTAAGGTCGTCAATAAGCTGCTCGCTTCCCAACACGTGGTCGACGACGCTGTCTTCGTCCAAGGTGGCCGACTCGCCATTCAACACAGATCCCGCGTGGCGGAAACATTTGCGCAGCGTTGTCGATGCCATCGACTTCCACGTAGCGGCGGCGAGCATGCTTAGTGCCCCAAGCAAATCGACCGAGTACACTTTTCCACTGTCGTGGCACACCACCGCATGCGAAAGCAAGTGTGATCGATAGTTCTCTTTGAGAGTGCGTATGACACTCTGGTCCATCGGTTGTAGGACACTTGTCGTGTTCGGTGGCAAGAACTCGACGCGCACAGCCTTCAAATTGGTTATGTGCCCGTGTGAAGCGCAGTTGTCGACAAACAACAAAATTTTGCGGCCTTCTAAGTCAAATTTGTGGTCCAGTCTTCTCACATAGCTTTCAAAAAGCTGCTGAGTTACCCAGGCCTTTTTGTTGGCCCCGTACAAAACAGGCAGGGGCTTTACGCCTTTGAAGCACCTCGAAGATTTGGACTTGCCGATGACGAGCATCGGCAGTTTTTCTGTGCCCGACATGTTGCTACCGATCAGTACAGTAACTCGCTCCTTACTGTGTTTGTCACCATGACAAGGGTCGCCAGCAAAGGCAAGTGTCTTTTCTGGCATCAGCTTGAAAAAAAGCCCGGTCTTGTCACTGTTGAAAGTATCATCT